CAGGTGATTGTATAATGTGGAATATTACTGCTTCTTAGGCGACTTGTCTTTCTAGTTATGTATGACTTTCACTAATATTTACATCTCTGGTCTACAAAGACACTGGAGCCAAGGTACCATCCTAGAAGTCTTTAGGATGGCCAAAGAAGCCAGCATGGAAATAAAAACTTGCAACATATACAGACCAAATAGCCCTTATCCAAAATGCTTGGGACCAGAAGTGTTTTGGATTCCAGATTTTCAATTTTTCTTGAATTTGGAATATATGCATTATATACTTACCAAATGAGCATTCTTAATTGAAAAATCCAAAATCCAAAATCCAAAAAATATTCCAGCAAGTGTTTCCTTTGAACATCATGTTGGCACTCAAAAAGTTTTGGATTTGAGAGTTTCTTTGTTTTTTTGTTTTTTTTTGAGATAGGGTCTTGCCTCACTCTGTCACCCAGGCTGGAGTGCGGTGGTGTAATCAAGGCTCACTGCAACCTCCGCTTCCCAGGTTCAAGTGATTCTCCTCCTGAGTAGCTGGGATTATGGATGTGTGCCTGTGTCTTTTTTTTTTTTTTTTTTTAAAGTAGAAATGGGGTTTCACCATGTTGGCAAGGCTGGTTTCGAATCCCTGACCTCAGGTGATCCACCCGCCTTGGCCTCCCAAAGTGTTAGGATTACAGGTGTGAGCCACCGCACCAGGCCCCCAGGAATTTGGAGCATTTTGGATTTCAGATGTTCAGATAGGTATGCTCAACTGTTAGTGAATATACTAGGAAATATTTACAAAGTTGATTAAGAGGAATCTTTCTTCCACTGACCCTCCCTCAGATGATTTACAAGGTGTATTGTTCATTCTGCCATATGGAAAAAATGAACAGGAGGCTAAAAATGTTGATGCTCTTCTACTGAGAGCCCATATTTAGCCCAACATTTTATTTTTATGCAGTAGGCTAGATATAAACTTTATTTTGGAGTCTTACCTTACAATTCATTTACATAAAAAAATTAAGAACAAAAACTTCTGTAGAAAGCAAGTTCCACTATATTCTTTTCACAGCATAGCATCACTTCCTAAAAGTCATGGGGATTGAACCCATAAGCCAAGCATCTATATTTTTAAAAACCACCACCATTCACACTGAAAGTAAAAAAGAATGAGTATTAATATGCTGATATTAAAAGATATCAAAGATATTTCTTAAAATATGTAAGATACTTATTTGTGTATATATTTGTGCATATTAAAAATGAACATATATATCTCAAAAAAAGGCATGAGAAATAAATGACTGTGGCTACCCATTTTCAGAGAGGTGAAGTGATGGGCAAAGTAGAGATGATAGTGGGATGAAGAGAAAGACGTTTCACTGTGTATGTCACCCTTTTTAGCAAGTTAGGGATTCTCATTCCATCACCCCCTTCACCCCACTCCATCCCTTCGCCCACACCCACTCCACCCCCAGAACTGTCTTGCCTCTTTTTTTTTTTTTGAGATGCAGTCTCACTCTGTTGCCCAGGCTAGAGTGCAGTGGCACGATTTCAGTTCATGGCAACTTCCACCTCCAAGGTTCAAGCAATTCTCCTGCCTTAGGCTCCAGAGCAGCTGGTATTATAGGCACACACCACCACACTCAGCTAATATTTCTATTTTCAGTAGAGACAGGGTTTCACCATATTGGCCAGGCTGGTCTCGAACTCCTGGCCTCAAGTGATCTGCCCGCCCTGGCCTCCCAAAGTGCTGGGATTACAGGTGTGAGCCACCTCACCCAGCCCAGAGCTGTCTTGCTTCTGAATCATGCTCCACACCCACACTCACACACATACAATCACCCTGAAGCAATGTGGCAGGTATGCCTTCACTTTCATTGGCAAAGGACTCTCTCTTCATCTTGCAAAAGTGAACCTATACCCTCAGCATCCATAAGACCACACAAACAGCACCTGTCTTGGCAGGTTGCCAGGACCTTGGGTAGCATCCACAGCCCCTCCTCAATGTTCCCATCACATTTGCTAAGCCCTTGCTATATGCCAGGCAGTATGCGGGAGCAAGAGGCACAAAAAGAAGTAGGACAAAGTACCTGCCTTCAGAAGGGAGCTCACAGCCTCAAGGGAGAGAAAGAGGAGGAAATAGAGAATTTCAAAATTATGTGGTCCATGAAATGGCAAAAGTATACCCCAGTGTAATTTACCACATTGTATTATAACTATTTTTTCTTCTCTCTCCCCACATCTCTCCAAGGTGAGTGACTCTGGTGTAGATACTGGATCCACAAGTACCTCTGAATCCTCTATGCAAAGCATGGTACTAAAATGATCTGAACTTCATAAATGTCTCCTGGATAGCAATGCAATGGTATTTTAAGAAACAAATCCACATGTCTTAATGTTTCAGAATGGGGATCAGTATACATATCAACTACTAACCTGGATGCATGCAATGTATTACAATATTAGAATTTCAGTACCGAAACAAACATCTTTAACCTCAGAGGTCCTCTGATCTTTTAGTCCTAGCTACACAGTCTTGGCTTTGGTTTTGTAAAATGGGGAAATGATGAAAGCCTACACCATCTGTTTTCTTCCCCTGGACATCAGTGCACTCTCACTTGTTTTTACCGGTAAGACTGAAAACTTTCACCCACTAACTTTGAATTTCTACCCATAGTTAATTCATTGGTAATTTCTTGCAACTTTCAGAAAAACAGTAATCCCCAATTTGACACAGGTTTGGCAGTACGCATTTAAAGACCTCTTACACTTCAAACCTTGGACTTATAGATATGAAACATAGTAACATTCTCCATCTTCTACTCTTTACCTTTGCTCTGCCCTGAACACTATCTAAAAACCAATGACAGCAATGCTTGCAAACATAGCATGAAACATTGTTGCAGTTAATCAGCCCAGAGCCCAAGGGAAAAATTTTCTATTTTTAAAGGCACTGTTACTTTAAGGAAAAAGTCTGTGGAGAAACATGAAACCAAGCTGCACAACGAAAAAAAAAAAAAATGCATTTGGTGTCTTCATCTGTGCAAAGACAGTTCTAATGTACCAGGAGCACGGTTGTGTTGACTCCTCAGTTCGTCTGTAAATGAAATGACCGGTACTAGGGCAGAGTCCCATAGAAAGCTCATCTGCTACTCGAAGAATTAGATCTGCCAGAAGGTCAAAACACAACAGTACCCACATTTCAATGCTATTTTTATAGCTCCAGATGAGGGACTATCCCACTAAGTAAGCAGATGAACAGATCCTAAAGTCACCCTTCAAATCTTTACCTAAAACATCCCGATTAGTAACTAACGTGGTTCAGCCTGAAAAATGATCAACTGATTACTTAGCATTTGGAACCAACTATCCACAGTTACGGGTTGTATCCAAATTCCACAAAATCAAATCTGTTTCTCTTCACGAATGACAACACTTCATGTCACAAAACAGTAGCCAACAGTCGCACTCCTTATGGAGTGACAAGGAGCAGGTGCCAACAAGGAAAACAAGCAGGAGCTACACAACCGGAGCTACAAAACATTTTACCTGTTACCCCAGACGGCTTTCAAGAATCTGACCCAACAGAATTGTTTCCCTAAACAGTATAACAATACCCAGTTTAGGGGGGGAAAACATTCGTTGGTGATATGGACATCTAATCTAATCTGTAAATATTTAATGTACTCAAGGAGTTTACTATCACCATAAAATAAATTATCCACACTGCTATAAATGCATCTAAAAATACATCCATTACCAAACAACATTCAGTGTAACGTACAATAAATACGACATTCAGTGTTAAACACGTTTTAAATATAGCTGAGCTATTTAATATCACCATCAGACTCTGCTAAAGGTAGCAGAATGTTTGCAAACTGGATAAAAATTGCTATGCTCAACACGAAAAGCAAAGAATCCCCAATCTTACCTCCTCATGATTTCTTTCCCCAGATTTGACAAAACTGAGCTTGAACACCACACATTATAGAATGGAGGCATTGCTTAATAATGTCACAAACCCTGCTTCAGACTCTCTCGTCAATGAAAATCTCTAAAGAATGAAATTCACTAAATTGTAGTCCATCGATCAACAGGTGATTCTTAGAAACAGAAACTCATTCATTTCCAATGAAAATTAATTTTGTAAACTCTCCCGTTTTTTCACATACGGATATTTACAAGCTACCGCATTATTATACTGAATGAATTCCAACTGATTTCTTCTCAGAGGCTTACTAGAAAAATGCCAAATATTCAAATTATTTTGGGGCATTATCCCATACTGCTGCATGGAACAGAACAGAATTAATAAGGACCCAACAGTTACCACTTTTCAAATGCAAATATGTTGCCTTCTAGTAAATACAGACCCTTTTAGAACATCCCTAAGTGTCTATACAGTTCAGGGCTCTACTTTTGTCTCCTTGAAAATCAAAATTCGCGCATTACATTGAGGCATTATCTCAACTCAGCAGCAGGAACTAAAATAGATATTAACTAGTCCAGCCTGAGTCTGCAGCATACAAGACTCTTTGCTTCATTTTTTTCCTCCCATTTTACACACACTGTCCCTCAACAATTCTGCCAAAGGAAACAAACGCTGCAGTGATTAAAAGAATCACGGGCACTGGGTTCCACGAACAATGAGGCTGTGGGCTGGCCCCCTGCGCGCCTCAGGCCTCAGTTATCCCGTCTGTAAAATGTGGCCGCTGGACGATTCACCTCTGGCGTCCCGTCCGGCCCTCTCCCTCCCGGGTGCCTCGCAGCCCGCCAGGTCTCAGCTGACTGGTGCTGGCCGTGGCCAGGGTGCCCTGCCTGCCGCCGCTCTAGATGGAGGGGAAGGGGGCGAGGGAGGAGAGGAACTTGGACTTGCAACGGCTTCAAACAGGAGCGGGCGACAAACTTGAAGCCGCCTTCCTAACAATAGGAACGAGCACTCCCATTTTCCTGGCTCAAACTTGCAGGACCCCGCGAGGCTGGATCCTCCCCAGCCGCCCTCTCGGAACCCGCCGCACCTTTCTCCCTGTTTGGTGTTCGAAGGAGGAGGGTGCAGGACCGTCTGATTGCCTTCCATCTCCACCACGCACTTGGTGTTCAGTTCCAGTTCTGAAAGCACAGAGGGACGGGGACGTTGCAAAGTCCAGCACCCGCGCCTCCAGCCCGCGCGGGGCTCCGTCCCGGGAGGCGGCCGAGCCTGGAGACGGCGCCCCGGGCACCGCGGCCGGCGCGGACACCGCCTCCGCCCCGGGCCCCCGGCCCCCGGCCCCCGGCCCCGGCCGCGCTCTCGCCGCCCCGGCCCCGCAGTTTCCGAAGTTGCCCCCGCCCTCAGCCCGAGCAGAAATAAAACCGAGCGGAAAGCTCCTCACCTCGTCGGTTCATGGGCCGGACCCGGACGGCAACTTTTACCTTGGTATCCGACATGTTGGCTGCGCTCGCCCAGCCGCTCGCCGCGCCCGCTCGGCCCGAGGCGGCCCCTCACGCGCTGCGCCGCCGCCGCCGCAGCCGCGCGCCCCCCGAGCGCGGCCGCCGCCGCTCCGCCGTGAGCTCCGAGAGGCAGCGCCGAGGCGCGCGGGCCATCCCGGGGGAGCGCGACGCGGGGCACGGCCGCGGCCCGGGGAGGGGCGGGCGCGCGGGGCGGGGCGCGGCGGCGGCGGCGGCGGCGGCGGCGGGCGGGGAGGAGGCCTCGCCGCCGGGCCCAGGCGCCGCTTTAGCCGCGCGGCCCCAGCCCAGAGCGCAGCGCCGCGGCCCCTCGCGGCTGCCCCGGGCCCGGCCGCGCCGCCATGTTCCGCGCCCGCCGCCCGCCGCCCGCCGCCCGCCGGGGCTCGGGAGAAGCCGGGGTCGGCCGCGCGCCGCGCCCCCTGGAGCGGCGGGACGGCAGTGTGGGGAGCGGCGAGCGGCGGGCGCTCAGGGGTGGCGGGAGTCCGGGGCCTGGCGCATTGTTTCCCCAGGGGACCTCCCAGGCCAAGCCGGCACCCGCGCCCGCCGGGCCCCCCGGACACCGCCTTCTGGGGCCGCTGCCAGCCGGAGTCCCGGGGCGGCCGGAAGGGCCCCGGCTCGCCGCGCAGGGTGGCCAGGCCTTCCCCGCCGAGCCCCGGCACGCCGCCCCCTCTGTCCCACACGGAGCCTGCAGCGATGTTTTAAGATCTCCGTGGTGAACCGAGACTAAAAATGAATCTGTGAATCCACCACCGAAACAGTGTGTGTTTGTAAATCGTGTTCTTCCTTCCCTTCTCGGCCTCTCCGGTCGTGGGAGGGCTGTCAAGTGGACTGGGAGGGCCATTAACTCTTACATAAGAATTTAATAGCAACGGATTCTGTCATCCTGCCAAACGCAGACCTCTCTGCCAGGGCGGAACTGGGCGAATCGGATTTATTCTATTTGGTTCAACAAGTGCTTAGGGGGCGCTCACCGAGTGCCAGGCATTTTGAAGCGTACAGAAGTAAAAAAAATCCAGAGTTTAGATCCAGGAATCTTTTGATTTTGCTTCAATCTAGAAATCCACTTACTGGAAGATGCACTGAGGTCCTACTGTGTGCAGGGTGCTGTGGAGGTCACACAAAAACATGAATAGCATGATGCAGAAGCACACGCTAAGGTGAAGGGAGGGCGTGGAGACATTACGTTAGACAGTGTGCGGCAGGTGCTAGGAGAGGCTCCGTCTGCCTCCAACAGGTGCCAGGCTATGAGCCTGACTTTAAGTGATGCTGCCCTTCACCTTTGAACAACACAGGTTTGAACTGCACGAGTCCACTTACACGTGGCTTGTTTTCAATCAAAGTCTGATTGAGAATACAGTATTCGTGCTCTGGCACGGTGGCTTATGCTTGTAATCCCAACACACTGGGAGGCCGAGGCGAGAGTATTACTTGAGACCAGGAGTTTGAGACCAGCCTGGGTAATGTAGAGAAACCCCATCGCTACAATAAATAAATAAATAAATAAATAATAGCCGGGCAGGATGGCAAGTGCCTGTAGTCTCAGTTACTGGAGAGGCTCACTGGAGCCTGGAAGGTCGAGGCTGCAGTGAGCCATGTTCACACCCCTACCCTCCAGCCTGGGCAACAAAGCAAGACCCTGTTAGAAAGAAAAAAGAAAAAAGAAAAAGAAAGAGAGAGATAGAGAGAAAGGAAGGAAGGAGGGAAGGAAGGAAAAAGAAGGGAGAGAGGAAAGGAAGGAAGGAAAAGAGAGAAAGAAAAGCGGAAAAAAGGAAAGAGGAAAGACAGGAAGGAAGGGAGGAAGGAAAAGACAGTATTTGGCACGGTTCAAAACGGAGACATCCAACTTTTCCTCTTTGCAGGTTCTGCAGAGCTGACTGTGGGACTTGAGTATGCATGGTTTTGGATGTTCCCGGAACCAGTCTTCTGCGTACACAGAACGACAACTACTTCAGCCCTACCTTATTGTGGATCCAGCTGTCTCAGTCCGCCTCTGAAGGACCTGTTGCATCTTTCCTCCTCTCCATTCCTACTGCTGCAATCTCACTTTGTCTGTTCATTCACCTGTTCAGCAAATGTGTTCTGAGTACCCTACTACGTTACAAACACAGTTGTAGGCTTTTGGCTACAGGCTCTTAGCTGTTGCTGAGAAAAAGAGGTGAAATTTCCAGCCCTCTGGGGCTAACAATCTAGGTCTGTGTCTACCTCTTCACTTTTGGGCTACTGAGACATCCTCTTAACCTTCCTAGCTTTGCCTCCTGTAATCTTTCCTAAATCCGGCTTCCAGACCGATTTTTCACAAAATTAAAATTTTATCCTTTGATCATGCATACTATTCTACTGTTCAAAAACGTCTCTGGCCTACCGTATTTAATATTACCTCCCACCGCTCCTGAAATTCTTGACTTCATCCAGGACCTATTCACAACCAAGATGCCATCCCTATGCTAAGCCATTATTCTGGCAGTTTCTACCAATGGGAATTGTAGAGGGTTGAATTTGTGTCTCCCAAAAAGTATGTACAAGCCATAACCTTCTGTACCTGTGAAGATGACCTTATTTTGAAACAGGGTCTTGGCAGATAAGTTAGGATGGGGCCATGACGGGTTAGGATGGGCCCTAAATCCAATGACTAGTGTCTTTATTTATTTATTTATTTATTTATTTATTTTTGAGATGGAGTCTCCCTCTATCACCCAGGCTGGAATGTAGTGGTGCGATCACAACTCACTGCAACCTCCGTCTCATAGGTTCAAGCCATTCTTCTGCCTTAACCTCCCAAGTAGCTGGGATTACAGGTGTGTGTCACCATCCCCAACTAATGTTTGTATCTTTAGTGGAAATGGGATTTTGCCATGTTGCCCAGGCTGCTCTCAAACTCCTGACCTCAGGTGATCGCCCCCACCTCGGACAGCTGGACTGACTAGTGTCTTTATTAGAGAAAGAAGAGGGAGATTTGGACACATAGGGAGGAAGGCCATGTGAAGACAGAGGCAGAGATTGGGGTGATGCAGCCACAAGCCAAGGAATGCCAAGGTTTGCCAGGAGCCCTCTGAAGCTAGGAACAGTAAAGAAAGCCTCCAGTGGAAACACAGCTCTACTGACACCTTGATTTGTGACTTCTAGACACCAGAGCTCTGAGACATTAAATTTCTTTTTTTTTTTTTT